CGCGGGTCATTGGGGCGTCCAAGATGGCGCCAAGAGGGCCTGCGAAAACCCAAGATTACATTCAAGATGCCCCGAGATACTCCAAGATCGCTCTCAAGAGGGGTTCTCACATGCTGGGAGCCTCCCAAAGGGGGGACCCCCAAGAGACCCAAATCCTTCAACCAACTGGAGAAAATCGATGATTGTGGCTTTCGCGAGAAAGCCTAGGCGATGAAGGGGCCGTGAGGCCCGACTGGCCCAGGTCAGTAGGTGGAGAGAGCGGGGGGGGGGAGTGAGAAGGAGCAAGCCTTCTCGGAAGGCGGCGGGGCTTCTCAAAACCCTCGCGCTTTCCGAGACCTGAATATGGCTTCAATGCGCGCCTTTCTCAAAACCCTCGCGCCTTTCTCAAAACCCTCGCACCTTCTCGCTTCAAATGAGCTCCCGAGGCCTGAATATGGCTCCGATGCGGCCCAAGAGGGCCCCAGCTGAGACCCAAGAAGGCCCCGCGACGGCCCCAAGAGCGCCCCAAAGCGACCCAAGAACGCCCCAAGAGGCAACTGTTTCGGGCCCAAGAGGGGCGACGCTAATTCGGGGCATCCCCCCTTTGATAAACGAAAACATGGAAAACAACACAATGGTTTCGAAGGGTGCTAGCTGTTCGGGGTATTTCGGAAGCTTTTGGCCCAAGAGGGCTCCAATATTGCCCCAGATGCATTAAGATGGCCTCCGGGACGGCGCAATGTGGTTCAAGTCGGCTCTATATGGCTTCAAAGAAGCCTCCAAGTGGCCCCATGCTGGCCCCAAGATGGGTCCAAGTGGCCACAGAAACCCCCAAGGAGGCCCTAAGAAACCCAAGCCGCTCTAGAACCCAAAGAAAATCAATGATTTTGGCCCTCTCGCCCTTTCGCTTCCAATGGGCTGGCTCCCGAGGACTCAAAAAGGCTCGAAGATGGCACAAGAGGGCCCCAAAAGACGCTGAAAGTGGGCCCCAGACGGCCCCAAGAGCGCGCCGAAAGCGCTCCAAGAGGCCCTGAAGAGGCGACTTTGAAGGCTCCAGACGGG